TGGTTTCAGCAGAATCATTGGATCAACACTAAGTTCTAATATTTGATGGACCCTACAGTCAATCCAAAGGTCATAGTGAATTAGGTCAATAAATTATGTCCCAATAATATTGCTCTTTTTAATATTATATTTGATTCGTGATGTCCTCCTAAATATCCTAACTTGAACCTTGGGACATGAGAATTTGAGAAAATATTTCTAATTTTGTTTTAGAAAAAAAGTCCAAGGGAGTACACCTGTGCAATATGACCATTTTTTTTTTAATAAATCGTAACCATAAAATTTTCCAAATTTTGTAGTCGAACTCTTCTCCCTCCATCCATTATTGAGACCGGTGTAATAGGATTTGGATTCTCTCTAATATATATTTATATATATATATATATCTATATGTGTGTGTGTGTGTTTTTATAATTACCCTTAATTATAAAACACTCATTATATAGGTAAGTGAAACAAATGAGATTCACTCTTGAATGTATAATGAGTGATTTATTGACACAAAACTAAGAAAAAAGTAGGTTTATCAATCGTGTTAGGTGAGATGGGTTCGTGTCGGGTCTCAGTCGGTCCACGTCAAAAAATACTTCAACTATATCTGATTCGTTTATTAATACGTATCTAACGAGTCGTGTTATATCAGATTCGTGTCGTATATAAATCGTGTATAACTAGTATATAAACGAGTTGAATCATGTATTTCTTTTGATTGACTCACTCATACTCGATTCATTTATTAATTGTGTCATGTTGAGTCCATTCGTTTATTAAACAAATAGTTTACGGAAGACTCAAACTCTCTAAATTTATATCTTTTAACGAGTCGTGTCGCATTTTGAGATCCGAACAAAAAATTAGCGAGTGAGATCCAATTAGAATGAAAGATACAACTTTTTAATAATGGCTCTTCCTTCAACCTTTTTTGTTCCAATTAGAATGTGAACATTACACAACCGTGAATAAAGGTGGAGGTGTCACGTGAGTACTCAGAGGGCTTGCTCGAGAAAGGAATGCATTGCCCTTTCCTTTTCTGCCACTTTTTCCTCGTAAGAATCTCTCTCTCTCTCTCCTTGTTTGGATCATCTTCATAGTCAGTACAGACAATCAAAGCACCATTTGTTACCGGTTCCGATCAGTCTATATTATATTTTAGTTTGATTTCATCAAAAATGTTCGGAAAGTTATTGAAAGAATTCTTCTCCTGAGAGCATTGAAAATTTTTATTGTCGATAAAAAAAACGAGTACTAATCCTAATCCTGACGTGTTAATAACATTTTTCTGTTAAATCGTCCGCTTGATGAATTAATGTGACAAACACTTAGAGGAAGATCAATAATTCATTTGATATGATTTGGTCCCATTAATCGAGAATGTTGGGAGATGAATAACTTGGGTTTAAATTCAGATTCACAATCTCCCTTTTCTTAATTTAAACAAGACATCTCTCAGAAAAAAAAAAAAAAAATTGCACCAAGTGTGAGAACAAATTAATTCAAGGAACACAACATATTGTCCCAAAATGACACAAAGTTGGTTGATAAAAGCATCCACAAGCACAGCTATGGCCTGCACTGTGACCATGTGAAAACTTTTGTTTTTGTTGTTTGGATGTACGAAAAGTTATCATTTTATAATGGAAGTTTTTCACCGGTTACCAACTTACCATGCCCCTATATATCACTTGTCAATTTTGTTTTGTTTTTTTTTTTTATAGACAGTTGTGTTTGGATTAATTTATATGTACTTTGACTAATTCCTTTTTTGGTTTAATGAAAGACAGACCATCCACACAAAAATTAGAATATTCATGAAAAATAAATCTCTAATGACTTGACACTAGTAGATTATCAAGATTTAAATTTAAAATGTTTGAATTTATACATTGTCTTTATTTACATACAATGATATAATTAGGGGGCTAAATGGGCAATCGCCTTTGAAAAGATTTCAGACGTATTCCAGAATTAGTTACAAAATGCTATAAATTATATAAACTAGTCCTCCTAGACTTTTAAAAAAAATTAAAGATCGTTCAATTTTGAATCCGTCTCTGTTTTCTTAGTTGATTTCAAAACTCGCTATGGCTTTGGTAAGAATTTCTTATGAATACTTATGCAGTCGTTGTCTCTCTCTAGTGCAAATATTGCACAATTGGCCTACTGCCACAACATCATATGCCAATTATCTACATTGACTGAGTAAACATTGATGGTGAAGTCTAACAATTTAAAACCCTTGTTTCCATTTTAAAGCAAGCAAGCTTCCGTGAGACAGACGACAATTCCTTTACCTTTTCAACTTTCTGCAGTTTACCCATTCAATAATTTCCTTTGTATACTATAGGGTGAGTTTCAAAAAAAAAATTCAGACAACTTACAACCCTTGTGGCTCATATAGGGCTAATTTTTTTTATTTTTATTTTTTTTATCGATTCTTGATCATTGATTTGTAAAGTTTAGAAGTTAACATAGGTAGGGAGTGCAACTAAGTTGAGCATACGGGGTGATCGATATTGGGATGAATTAGAAAGTGGATTTGGATGAGATGACTAAAGTTGCTAAATATTGAGTATAATAATAATATCATGTCATCATTAATACATGGTGTTACCATCTAATAATAAATGTATAAATGATTAAGGTGAACTTTGTTTAGGTAATTATTAAATGACACGATAGAATAGTTATTAAAATATGTGAAATCTATTAGCCCATTTATTATTTTGTCATTGAACAATTGCATCATATCAATTTGATGAAATCTCGTAATGGTTACACCCAATATTTCTCTCACCCACACACCCCAACTCCTCCTTTTCCTTGGATGCCATTCCTTTCACTTTATTATTGCACTACAAATACAAAGGACTTGGACATTGGACCTAGGTTTTACTTATCAACAATTAATCGACATTGGACCAAGGTTTTACTTATCAATAATATTATACGGACCAAAATTTCTTATCAAACTTTCTATTTCAAGTGATGTGACATAGTTTTTATAATCAAATAAGTGATTTTTATTAATATTTAATGATAAAAATTATGTCACGTCATTTAAAATAGAAAACTTGATAAAAAAAAAATTAGTAAACATAGCATTAATATTTNCATCAAATAAGTGAGTTTCATTAATATTTAATGATAAAAATTATGTCACATCATTTAAAATAGAAAACTTGATAAAAAAAAAATTAGTAAACATAGCATTAATATTTACTTATAATCCTGATGTGTACAGTGTGTCCATATACTGAAGAAGTCTTACTAGTTGCTTCACATGCTTGCCATCCTTAATCAATGCTAATATTGATTCGTATTGAGTTCCATACTGGACAGTCACCATCTGTATAGCTTTCTTTATGGGGGCTAAATGGACTTTATCAGCCATTGCCCATTGGGACTTGCACAGCCATGAAATTAATTAAACAATTGCACAGTTATTATGGGAGAAGTAAAGTCGAAGTAAGAGCAGTTTTTGTCCCTTAATTTTAATCAAAAGTTAGGCGTGAGTTAATTGGCATTGTGATGAAATCAGCATGTCACTCTGACGAGCCTTTTTAATACTTTCTTTTTTCCAATCAATTTTCTCCAATAAATTATCTATCATTAATGAGTGAGAAAAACACACACACACACACATATATATAATATCTATATAATAAATCAGATAGATATTTGAATTTATGGGGATATAACCTCAAATTTTACACATCCAACACACTTTTTCTCCCAAATTTCAAAAACTTAATACACACACTTTACAACACATAGATGTACACACATACACACACTCCAACACACATTCTAATGTATGCACCATATAATAATTTAGTGTACAGTGATTTTAGTTACGGGATATCGCTAGTATATATATATATATATATATATANTATTGTGATGAAATCAGCACGTCACTCTGATGAGCCTTTTTAATACTTTCTTTTATCCTCTCAATTTTCTCCAATAAATTATCTATCATTAACGAGTGAGAAAAACACACACACACATATATATAATATCTATATAATAAATCAAATAGGTATTTGAATTTATGGGAATATAACCTCAAATTTTACACATCCAACACACTTTTTCTCCCAAATTTCAAAAATATGAGTTATACTTGAATTCATGGTATGTAATCCAGCAAGAAAAAAAATGGATAAAAAAATGTATTGGAGCGATTTAAAGTTTGTTTAGAAAGAAGGAAACGACAAGAAATGAAACAAATAAAAAAAATATATATATAATTTTATAACTCGAAAAGTTTCAAAGTCTAAAAGAAATTAACAATGAGATTGATAATGGAAAAGTCAAAGCAAAATAAGTTTCTCAACACGTATTTTTTTTTAGAATATATTTTTATAAAAATATAGCAAGAGGCTTTCGTTTTATGCCTTAAATGGCTAGAAAGTCAGAACAAAAATGTTTCTATATATTTTTTTTAAAACAGAGGACTATGCAGAAAAAATAATGGGTCTCTTATTCATATAATACAAGATGTGTGTGAGTGTAGACAGAATTAATAAGTCACAATTCAGAGCAAAGATGGGCAAAATGAAAACTCAAATTGTACCTCACCACATTCATGGTTATTAACTTGTGGGTTTTTTTTTTCGAGAAATAATGGTTCAAGCCCAAAAGATAGTCTATTGAGTTATAAATACGAATTAAAAAAAAGATTAATTAAAGTGTATATTACACCCACCAAGACATTCATGACTACAATAAAAAAAAATAAAAACAATGGTTCAAATCCACTGTCCACAGTCCACATCATTAATATGTGAATTTAATACATTTTCCATGTTTTAAAAATAAAGAGCATATTGATTGCCTAATATTTGCTTTATTTTGTTTCTAATTCCATACTATTTGGTCAACTTCAACTGATTTTTTCTTTTCTCTTTTCTCTTTTGATAAAAAAAAAACTGATTTTCTCTCTCCTCAATCCCCATTAATTACACTTTACTAACTGAAAAAATAATAACAAATGTATCAAAAACAAACCAATGCAAAGCGAGAGAACGCAGGATACGAATCAAAACTGCCGACTCCTTTCAGCAGTCTCACATACGCTCCGATACATACCTACGGAGAGAGAGCCACACACACACACATATAGAGAGAGAGAGGGAGAGAGAGAGTGTGTGTGTTATATGTCTGCTATCAGTGTCTTTGTACATTGGTTTTAGAGGGTGAAAGAGTGAGTTAACAGTAGGGAAAGAGAGAGATGCAGAAGAAGAGGTGGAGGACATTGGCGGTTGTGAGGACGGTGCTAACGTGCGCCATATCCTCAATAGCGCTGTTTGCTCTGCTTTCAGTTCACGTACACGAATTTCCTTCATCTGAAATCACCAAGTTGCCAGAGCCTTACAAGCTCCCGACGGTAATTCTCTCTCTGCAATCACTACTTCGTTCGTATTTTTCTTGCTATTTTTTCAACTAATTTTTTTTTTTGATTTTAGGGTTTCAAGTTCTTGGAACCCTTTGTCCTGTTTCAGAAGTTCTTATTAGACTTCTGTTTATCTATTTATGAGTGTGTGTGTGTGTAAATCTAATACTCTTACAAATCATCCACTTGTTTTAGTTTATACGATTTTTTAAACTTTGAACTAATGATTTCAAGGGAAGTTTACTTCTTTCTTTATTGCTTTCCTGATGACAAGTTCTTGATTGATGATTTTTTTTTTCCTATTCAATATAGTCAAAATTTCCTTTGGCTGGACATAGGTTGTCAATTAAAAATATTATTTCTTGACTATGTTTAATTATTTCAGATTGGGTATTTCTATAGATGTGGTTTAGTGGCTATATCGAGTATAATTTGAGATTATTCCATTTTTTATTTCTTTTTTCGCATTAAGGTCTGTAAAATGGGATTGTTTATTGACCTCGGATGGTTCCATTTTGTAGCAACATGAAATTGGATACCAAAACTTGAACACAGAGCAATGGTGGACACAAGAATTTACCCCGCCCCATTTGTTGAAAGCTCCTCTCCCACCTCGCAAGGTTTGTGCTTCGCTGGTATCCTACAGTTCCCTTTATTTCTTTAAACTTGTTAACCCTTTTAAGGAATTTTGATTTATCTGTTCATTTAGTCTTTGTTTCTTAATGCTGTTTATCTAGGAGGGGGTGTTAATTCAAATTCATTGATATCTTAATGAATTGAGATAAAGGATAAATATAGGGATGTGTATGTTGAAGCAAAGTAGTCATGCCTCTTTCATGTTTTCACTCCCTTAGACTTGACAGTTGGAAGCTTCATATGGGAGTTCAGATTTGGACAAGTTGTGGAAGGCGCCGCCAAAGAGAGACTATGCTCCTTGTGTCGAGCCTAGTTCATCCTACACATGTAAGGAAGAAGTGATTTTGCTAATAAGGAATATGTATCATATCCCTCCGAACTTTAGTTTCTTCAAAATTTATTATACTTGTAGTTCCAGGAGAGTCTCGAGGTTACTTGCTTGTTCATACAAATGGTGGGCTCAATCAGATGCGGGCTGGGGTCGGTACTCTCTCTCTCTCTCTCTCTCTCTCGCACATATAAATCTAAACCATTCGATGGTAATTTTTATCTCTTGTTGCGCACATCCTATCCTTATAAATTATTAGAAGAATATTATTCTTTTTCTATTCTTACTTTCCATGCTCTGCTGGATTGTTTTTTTATTGCAAAACAAAGTAAAACTTGATTTTGTGAGGCAGCTACTCACAGATCTAATCTGTCATACAATTTTGAGATGGGGAAGCCAATACAGGCACTTTTCCAAACAGTGGCCTTGTTATAGTAAGGATAGTTAAAAGTGCAAACGACAATCAAATAAGTGGAGTTATAATAAAGTTCTTGCCAAAAATTTGAGAAATTGGTTTGGAATCTCCTTGAAGTATAATGGCAGTGTTGTTTATACTATAAATTTTGTAAATTGAGGGAATTGTGTTCTCAACAACAAGATGGAGAATATCAGGAAATTAGATTGCATTGAAATCAATTATTTTGAGTTGCACATCCATATCAATTGTTAAGAAAGGCCATGAATTAGTTCATACCTCTATGTCAATTCAGTGGTTGCTGGGAATCTCCCTTATGTTCAGACAATACTGAGTCTTAAGCCAATCAGTGAATTGTTTCTGTAGTTTCACGACCATTCATGTGCAGGTTGTATGCTAATTGAGCACACATCCAAGTTGGGGGTGGCAAAACGATATGATCATGTCTTTCTTTTTACTAGTTTGATTTTATTAGGTGAGGTAATGCATGCCTTAATGGCAATTCATGACCTGCTAGTCCTAACCACTTGACCCAAACCCTAACCTAGGCTTTGGGTTACTTCCTAGTTGCAACATCATATCATTGTAGTTCAATCCAGACCCCTATGTTGTCTCTTCTGACGATCTTATCTGGTTTAATGCATTTGTGATTCTTACCTAGTAATCACGTATGCATATAAATCACTTGCGCTAATAGTTAATTTCTGTAGTCTGAACTCCTTTGACTAAATATTGTAATGATCTGTTTCACTATCAAAGTCTAATAACGTAGGTTTAGCTTCTTTTCATGAGATATATGGAAATCAAATTACAGTCAAGACAGCCAAAGAAAGGAATTAGGCCACTCATTATCATGTTGTTCTACTACTTCAGAATTGGAAAAATGGCTGTTGGATGACTCCTTTCCTCTTCTCATCTATAATTGGAACAGATATTATTAAATGTAGGGGATATAAATACCATCCTGTAGTTAATTGCTTGTTTCAATTTCGACGGCATAACAGCCATTCAATTCTAATTTGCCACCATGTATATATATACATTTCACAAGTCAACACTACTTTATGATTGAACCATAATCTGGAGCTGAAAAACAGTCTCATTTCTTACTTCTAGATATGTGACATGGTTGCTGTTGCTCGTATTATAAACGCTACTCTGGTGATTCCAGAACTTGATAAACGCTCGTTTTGGCAGGACACTAGGTAAAATTATTTGTTTCTTTTTTCTTTTGCATCCTTCTCAATTTTCGCATGCTTGATGATATCCTTAAACTTGCCCGTTTGTTTGAACTACAGCAATTTCTCTGATGTCTTTGATGAAGATCATTTTATTAATTCATTGGCTAATGACATAAATGTTGTTAAAAAACTTCCAAAAGAACTGGCAACTGCATCGAGAGCAGTTAAGCACTTTAGAAGTTGGTCTGGTATAGATTACTATCAGGAAGAGATAGCAAGCATGTGGGAAGAATATCAGGTATGTTAAGGAAATTTGTTATTCAAAGTCTGTTGTATGGGTTATTGGAATATTCTAACTTAAATAATCAATTCAACACCTCTTTTACACAGGTTATTCGGGCAGCTAAGTCTGATTCTCGACTTGCAAATAATAATCTGCCTCCAGATATTCAGAAGTTGCGCTGCCGTGCGTGCTATGAAGCCCTCCAATTTGCACCTCGAATTGAATCGATGGGAAAAGTAAATATTTATCCTAAATGTTTATTTGACTGCGGAATGGAAATATCTTTGTTGTCTCCGATGTGATAGCTAGAAGTTTATTCTGTTGGATTATTCTGTTGGCTTTTGTAGCTTCTGGTGGATCGAATGAGGTCCTATGGTCCCTATATTACTTTGCATTTACGCTATGAAAAAGACATGCTTGCCTTTAGTGGATGCACACATGATTTATCCCCAGAAGAAGCTGATGAACTAAGGATAATCAGGTAGGAGATGTTTCATAGTAGTACATGCTGCATTTGCCACATTTACAAAAATAGAATCTGTTACATTCTGCCTGATGCTTTGACTTTTTATATTTCATTTTCAATGTGAACTTGTAGAGAAAACACTTCTTATTGGAAAGTGAAAGACATTGATCCCGTGGAACAGAGAGCCAAAGGTTTATGCCCATTAACTCCAAAAGAGGTTGGAATGTTCCTTAATGCTCTTGGATTCCCATCAAAGACCCCCATATATATTGCTGCTGGAGAAATTTATGGGGGTGATGCTCGTATGGATGATCTACAATCCCGCTTTCCCTTATTAATGAACAAGGTATGGAATCTATAGCTTGGCATAATTTCATGTTTTGTAATATTTAGCCCGTATATGCTGCCTTTTGTGAACCATAGTGATGTGATTAGGTTGAAGCAGATCAGGGCCTGATTTGAAACTGAATCGCCTGGAATTCATGTTGTAAAAAGTAAAGGTATAAGCTGATAACAATGATCAAAATTTTGTTTTGGTGTATTGTTTCGGTCAACTAAAAAACGGAAACATTTCGACATGGTTCGGAAACGTTTCGACTAATTTCGGAAATAAAATGAAAAAAATAAAAAAATTAAGAATTTTTTTTCCAAAACATTGCTTGAAATATAGTAAAGTATCTTGAAATACTTTAAAATATTCTTAAACAATTGTGTAAATGCATTAAAACCTTGTAAAACACTTTGAAACATTATGAAACACTTCGAAGTATTAGAATTTTGGTTTCATCGTTGATTCGTTTAGGTCTTTTTGGAAACGGAAACATTTCGGACGTTTCAAAACGAAATTTAATCCTTGCAGTTAAGTTTTCTTAAAATAGATTCATATAAGCTTATGTTGATGACTTTCTTAATTTCTCTCCCTGCCCCACGTGCATGGCAGATATTTGCACTGTTGAGGCCAGGTTCAAACCTAAATTTTAAGAACTACCCCAAATACTCCTCTCCTTTTCACCACCTAATCTGAGGTCTATGGGCAACTTCGTTTAATTAATAAAATTCATGCATGTCACCCAAAAATAGTGGTGACCACCTAGTCCTTGGAGGCTGTGATCCTATGTTGGAGGTTATGAGATGAAGTGCCACTTAAGCTCTATCTTTCTAGGATAGGTAATTGTTGCCCTGCAGCACTGTTTAGGAGTGCTCCTACCTTTGCTTCTGGTCTGTTTATTATAAGTCAGTTTTGTTTTGTGTTAGGGAGTAATAGGTAGGCATCAAAGACCAGATACATTTGGTGGAATCCAATCTTCACCCAAAAGTTTAACCCAGTTGGTCATAGACCTTTCTACGTGCACAAGCTTTTCTAAGTCACACTGGATTGAGCAAGTTTAAGTGTGAAGCTAATTATATCTGTAGAGAACTAGTTTAATAGGTTGTCTGATGTATTCTGAATAGTTGGATCTAATTTATTGTTTGTTTGCACTTTGCAAAATCGAATCTTGACTAAATTTGGCTGCAAAATGAACCTCAGATTTGTGGCAGTATCAATTATATGCGACGAACTGTAAATTATAGATGTAATCACAAGTTCTTAAACAACTTTGACTTCATCTTTGTAGAATCGTCATCTGATTATGAAAAATATTGATCTGAATTTGCTCTTAACAATTTGTAATGATTTCAAAGTCTGGCTTACCTGGGGTGAGATTTGGCACTCTAGGACAGGCTGCTTGGTTTAACTACAACGATTAGGCAACAAGGCGATCTAACAGGTGTGCGAAAACTATTTATTAAAGGATTTAACAGGCAGACACTGGTTCTGCTGTCTGCAATATTTCAGAGCGTCTCTGAAGTGGCCAGGAGTTTTTGATCATGTTCTTTGATATTTACTTCTCGTTGATTCTGTTTATTTTGGTGGGCATATATCATAGCAATGCATCTTTGTCATCCAGTGGTGGGAGCCCATAGATGGAATGCGGATGGTGGTTTACAAGATTAATTAGTCAGACACAAGGACTGGATAAGTGGTTTTGAAAGTTTTGTTAGTGGGAATCATCATATCTTCCAAAAGCATGATTTTCCAAATAGCAACTACCATATAGAAACCTTTCATAAGACCATGTTCATAGTTGGGTGTTCTGCTAATTCAGGAGTGTGACCTTATAACAGCCAGGAAAGGTATACATTAACCAGTAGAGGCTAAAGATGAACTGAGCAGAAATAGATTTTCCTTAAGAGTTTTTTCTTGTGGTCTTCAAGCTGCTGATCAATAGTTTTAGTTATGACATATTATTAATTTACTAGTCATAACCCGTGCCTGAAGGCACGATAAAATATAAAATTCGAGCGTCCAAAAAATCGATCTCACTATATTAAATTTTTTTAAACTATATTAACTATAAATTAATCAAATATTAAATGATTAAATATATGATAGAAATGAGTGATGTGATATTTTTAGGGAGGAAATTTATAAATGATTAAATATGTGATTTGACGTTTGAGTATGACAAAGGGAAGATGGGTGAGGTAAGTGATTAGTGATGGTTTTGAGGAGAAAAATATGACTGGGATAAAATTCAAACACACTCCTGTTTTATTATATAGATGTGTGTTGAACAACTATGTGGTGACTGCATGATGGTTCCTATAAACCATGGTTACATATGCTGGACATAGAGATGCCTTGGTTCATACTGGTTTGGTTGATGTGATGCCCTTCAATATACAATCAATTTGTTTTCCAAGATTAGGATTCAGATGGCTTTTACAGGTAGAATGTGAAGGGTTTTTAAATCAGCACATTCTGAGGTCGACTGCTTGGCCAGTGGAGAAATAAACTCTCCGCTAATTAAGTTCCTCCCACCCGTTTGACTTACCTGCTGGGCTTCTAGTGGGTTCGAGGGTAGTTTTTGTGAGACTGGTGTTCCTTGATACTTTTTTATTTTTCACCATTTTTCTTATGTAAAGCTAGCCCTCATCATCTGGTTTCATCCATCTCACAAATTTCTGTTTTTCGTCACGACAGAAGTTCTTTTGACGGTTTCCTTTGTAGCTTCTTGTTCTTGTCTCCACCTCCCTTTACACAACCCCAGGTGAGGGTTTAGGTTAAAAGTTTCTATGAACAATGTGTAAATCAACTCTAAATAATCTTGAACTCACCATGGGTGAACGTAGCAAGGTGGTCAGAGTTCTCTCTCTATCTTTTTTGTATCAAGGAGAATGGAAGTCTGTGGGAGCAACATGTTGGACTCGCTTTGAGGGTGATGACTTTTATTAAGAAATGAAATTAATGACTTAGAAATGAATGACAACATCTTCAGGTAGAGAACCCTTAAAGCTAATTAATATAGCCAACCAGGAAGTAGTAATAATGTATAAAGGTGAAGCTGTGCTCTCTTCAAATTACAAACATTGTTGCTCTCTGTCTGTCTCTCGCGCGTGCGCATGTGTTCAGTTTGAGGAGGAGAAGCTGAGCTCATGTAAGATCTTAGATTTTAGATCTATTTGTGGCAGATTGAATCACACCTTCAGTTCATTTTGCAGGAAAAACTAGCATCAGTTGAGGAACTTGAACCATTTGTCAATCATTCATCTCAAATGGCTGCACTAGACTACATTGTATCAGTCGAGAGTGATATATTTATTCCATCCTACTCTGGAAACATGGCAAGGGCAGTTGAAGGTCATCGTCGATTTCTGGGACATAGGAAAACTATTTCTCCTGACAGGCAAGACATTTTCTTTTTTTGTAGCCCGTGCAGCATTGCAGTAATTTTACTGCCAACTATACTACTAACAGTGTTGAAATTGTTTCCACTTGATCTTTCTCTCGATTTTCAGGAAAGCTCTTGTCCATCTTTTTGACAAAATTGAGCAGGGCACAATGAAAGAAGGCAAAAAATTGTGTAATCGAATTATTGAAATCCACCAAAGACGGTATGTGAAGATCAATTATCCTGAGTGTTTTAGATGTTTGGATTTTTTGAATTGTCAATACACTAGTGGGTCAAGTAATGTATCTGGTTGTGATGATTCTTATGGCATTCCCTGTTTGAGGGATGGGTCTTGCAGCATTTTTTGGGTGTTTTTGAGTATGATGCTTGTAGCAAACCTTTTCCTTATCTTTCTGGGAAGAAATTTAAACTGTGATGGACATATTCAGGTGGATAGCTCCAAGGGAGAGATCCTTTTTCTCAATTTCTCATATAGAACTCTACCCATAAGCAATGCTGCTCAATGCCTCTAGGTCACTTGTCCAGGCCAATTGTAATTATTTTAACTGTACCCTTTTTGATTGAGGTTTCCTTTAGAACATCTTATGGCTTTGAATTATATCCCTCTGAACATGCTTGATTGTATGATATGGGGATGTAAGTACACTCAATTTTTGGTTCTTGTTTTTTATTCGTATTGGGCAGGCATGGATCTCCAAGGAAGAGAAAAGGGCCCATTTCAGGAACAAAGGGCATGGACAGATTTCGCTCAGAAGAGGCATTTTATGTGAACCCCTTACCTGATTGTTTATGTAGGAAGGAATCGCCTGTTATGAACAGATCACTCATCATAAAGTAGATCAAAGGTAGCAGAACAAATCGCTTCAGAAATATCTTCAAGCTGGTGGGTTGATTACACATTCCCCCAAGTTAGGGCTGCGGAATGTATATATCAATGAGATGAGATGGAGCAATATATACATCTCATTGAGAACGATTAATCATAAGGATGGGGAGGAGCGGGGTTGTTTGAGGCTTGGCCTTTCATTCTGTTGGGACATCGGCTTTATCTGACTAGTTGTTCAAGTCCTTCAACGTCCAAGAGGGCATCCGTTTTGCAGATTTCATTACAGGGTTGATGCTGCTGTTGCAATAATGTGATCTTTCAATTTATCTATTCATTCTTGGACATCCATTCAATGCAATAAAGGAGAATCGATTCATTTATCAACATTGGTTTTGCACCAGTAGTTTGTTTTTCCACCATGGCAGTTTAATTTCCAGTTTGCTGTATATGCTATGGAAGCAGGGATTAAGTAGTAGTGCAGAACCCTTTGGCTTATGGTAGGCGGTTGGTGATAAATAGGTGTGTGGATTCCTTGCTGAATTGCAAGCATAGTGAAGATCAAACCTCCTGAATTTGGGAGAAAGATGAAGTGATAGTTATAAATTCTACTCTTCAATAGCTTACAACAGACCACTTGCACTTGGATGGGGAAAAGGTGCTCTCTATTTTCCGGGCTGTTTTATTTTACTTCATTTTATTTTATTTTATTTTTTCTTCTGTGGTAAGGGTAATTCATTAACCAAAGTCCAGTAGTACAAATATATTGGAGAACGACAAGAGAAGCTAGAACTTACTAAAAGATTAAATCGTCATCCTAAAATAATAAGATCAATCTAAAAACAATACTATTTTTTGGTAACTAGATTAAATCGTAACTCTATTTTTATTTTATAATAATTTTGGATACGATTAACTTCAATATATAGTAGCAAGCCGAAGAGGCATCAAGGCAAATCAACGGTCCTTACTTGCACCTGATGGAGAATGGACATCAACACGTTAACATAGTTTTCGGGTAAAGATCGCTGATGCTAGACGGGGAGCTATATGTGACAGGTGCTTTGTTTGTACTACATTGAAATTCCTCTTTGTTTTTTTTGCAAGTCAACGGTCAATGATGTCCAAGTCTGAAAAATCACCGCATCTTTCTCAATTTTAACCTTAATTTGTTAGAAGATATCACCTTCAACTGTACCAATGGCAAAGACTAAACCACTTGAATAAAAATTTATTGTAACATCCACTACTATATTGGTCTTGCCAGGTTTATATTTCATAGTCAAATCAAACTTTGTCAACTTTTTGATTAATCTTCTCTCCACTCCACTCAGAGACAAATCATTCATACCGAAATTAGAATAAAATTTTTCATAACCCTAACTCTAAAAAATTGTCAAAATTTAAATTCAATACATTTGAATGTATAAATTCCTTTAAATATTCAAAGAAAGTTTCCCATAGCAATCGGTTTCTGCTTACCAAACAAATCTTTAATCAAAACTCAAGTGATANCTAATCTTCTCTCCACTCCACTCAGAGACAAATCATTCATACCGAAATTAGAATAAAATTTTTCATAACTCTAACTCTAAAAAATTGTCAAAATTTAAATTCAATACATTTGAATGTATAAATTCCTTTAAATATTCAAAGAAAGTTGCCCATAGCAATCGGTTTCTGCTTACCAAACAAATCTTTAATCAAAACTCAAGTGATACTGTAATGAATTATGAATTAACCAAGCTCAGGTTTTCAATTCTTTTATCTGTCGCCGAATCGAACACTAAGATTTGCAAAAAATAAAATAAAAAAACCATACGAATATCACCAGATACAATTTTAAATCAAAAATATATAAATATGTTCCTAATCTTATCTGGACTTGGGAGTAATGATCTGAAGCCCACCCATGAAGGGCCTTAATGGCTCCGGAATCACTACAGAGCCGTCTTCTTGTTGGTAATTCTCAAGCAAACACAAAATCATCCGGGGAACAGCGCACGCTGTTGCATTTAATGTGTGCACAAACTGCGTTGAAGCAAGATTGCCTTTACCCTTTTTAGGGTTTGTCAATGATGATTCTGGACGGTAGCGAATTCCAAGCCTGCGACTTTGGTAGTCCGTGCAATTTGATGCACTTGATATCTGTTACATTCAAGTACACGGTATTGGGTTACAAGATTGTTGGGCTCAAACAGGAATGATAAGAGAAGCCAAAACAGAAGAAGCTTCCATGTCCATCAAAATCATCAACAGAGACGTGAGATTGAAAAACAAAATGCAAGATTTTATAATTTAGTTGCGACAAATATGTATTGCTGACTCCAAACAAGTATAAAGCCAATCATGCATGCATATATTACTGACATACCTCACCATACCGTCCCAAGCCCGGCATCCATGCTTCCACATCAAATTTACGGTAAGCAGGCGCGCCTAAATCCTCAGAAGCCATGTCCACAGTTCTGAGAAACTCAAGGCTAGGTTAAATACAGATTGATCCCGAAATAAAAGGTGAAAGAACATTCGGAAAACTCACTTAAAATGAAGTCCCAATGACGAGAAGAGGTCCTCTTCAATGGAAATTAATTCTTCATGGTAAGAATCACTTTCCTCTGGCCGACATAAGATGAACATCTCCGCCTTACTGAATTGGTGGACTCGGTAGAGGCCCCTGTTCCAAATTGTCACCAACTAATCACTATGATGCCAGGCGAAAAAAAAGAAGAGAAGACAACGAAAAAGAAAAAGAAATTTTTTAATCAATACATAGTAAGTCTATCAGCATTATAGAGGGAAGAACTCAGAACTGAAGAACAAGAGCCCAAGGCATGGAGGATGATAGCTGATCTCAATCAAAGACATGGCATGTATTTAGCAGTGAATGACCCTTCGCAAGAAGGGTTTTATATAGTAGATGGCCAGTGTCAAAAATCATCACCATCAAATGATTTTTACTATTATTCTAATTTTTCATGTGAATACGTAATGCAAAAGGAAATAAAACAGCTGCCACAGTAGAATGGTCAACCACATTCAACTAGTCTAGNCCAAATGATTTTTACTATTATTCTAATTTTTCATGTGAATACGTAATGCAAAAGGCAGGAAGCAAAGTCGTGCACAGGTATTCAGAGTCTACGTAGAAAAAGGAAATAAAACAGCTGCCACAGTAGAATGGTCAACCACATTCAACTAGTCTAGAACTCTCACTCAATGTTACAACATTCAGCACCGAGGAACCACTGTCTAATACAGACATGTATAGAAGCATATCATCTGCTATATTTCTCAATGCAGATAAATTTGTGGCCCATCAGAATTTGGTGTACAAAGTACACAGTCAATCCCCAAAAAAGAAAATGAAAGTGAAAAACAAAAATGAACAAGAACTAGAGGAAGACAAGCTCAAACTTGGATTCAATCTGGCTATCTTATGTAAAAGCAATAGTTCACAGAACTATCGGCTATACCAAATATAAGAAACCGCCATAATCTACATTATAGTAAAAGTACCATCCATTACAATACTAGTTTCACATGAATAATTTACCTTGTTGCAGTGCCTGCAGCACCAGCCTCAGTACGAAAGCAATGTGAAAAGGCCACATACTTTAAAGGTAACAAAGCCTCAGGAAGAATAGAATCCATATGAATTCCACCAACTGGAATCTCTGCAGTGCCAATAAGGCATTGATCACTGCCCTCAATAGAGTAAACCTGTCAGCATTTGGCAAAAATATTAACCCATTGAAATCAACTTAAATATTCATTAGCTAGAGCAAGACCAATGCTTCAAGGAGAGGCTCCTCGACAGGAGGAGGAGGCAGGGGAGGAGCCTGAATGAACACATGCACACGCAAAAAGTAATGTTCCTTACATTCAAAGGCTCATAAAAAAATATACAAGAGGCTTATTTCTTATTCTACCCTCAACAAGCATCCCCTTACTAATATTTTTTGCATATACACTAACATAACTTGTGAAGCCCTAAGAATAATGCATGTTTCTTTCTGGTGTTAACACTAAATATCCACAGGAATTAAGATCACTCAATTACTTCATAAGGGACCAAAGTTTACACCAATCAGGGAATGAGGCTGGTACAAAGAAGTTTAACAGTTGGTTTTACTGATGACAGATGCTGAATAATATTGTGCTACAAGTTTTACATTTTGAAACTGCTCTATCCTGTTTAATTGTAGATCTAACTAGATTTCACCATTTATGGCCCAATCCAATATATAAGCATGGTTCATCCAGTGTAGCCAAAGATTCTTAAAAAAATGTGATAAGCACACTTAGCAAAGCACCATTCAGAAGAGATAGTTGATTGCCTGGGCAAACATATCAACAAACCTGAGTATTAGTTCCACGAGGTTGGAAGCCACATTTTTCAACAACAGAGGATCTCACAATTTCTGGAGTTGTAAGAGGCGTAAATCCCCTTTTCATGACTTCAAAGAGAGTCCAGTTTATGAGGCCCATCTCTAGCATAACTGCTTCATTCTTCATGTAATAGAATTTTGACCCACTAATCTGCAGAAACAAACACCACCACGTTAATGCACTATGAAATTGAGGATAGTCTTCCTTCTCTTCTGTAATTTAACATCTTGTTAAGTGAAAGCCAGAAGAAAAATCCCCAATTGGGTTTGGTTTATAGTAAGGCCATGAAGCTGAGCAATTATGAACTAAATTATGAACATGGGCCTCAGATAAACATCTTTGTATAGACTCAAATCAGATCTTATTCAGTCCAATGTATGAAGTAGTGAAACGGTACTTTTCAACCACAAATTTATAATGCATGATGGACAATTCGGCATACTCTAAGATGTCTGAAGTTTATAAGGTTGACATAGAAATCCTAAATTGAGCAACAAAGAGAAAACCTCAATGTGATCCTCTTCCATTTAATATCCTCTCCCTCCATTTCAACCTCTTCAAAAGCGTTTGATCTCTGAATTATCAACACTAAAAAGGCTGAATTTCATTTTACAGAGCAGTGCATTCACCAACTTTCTTTAGACATTTTAATCCTAAAATATACCTACCGAAGTTCATACACAAGGAGGGGGGGGGGAGAGAGAGAGAGAGAGGTAGATGGTAAAAAGGCGATTGTACCATATCATAAACACCAAAATTAACAGTTTAGCACTCAAGGCACCAGTCTGAAAGGACGAGAGGAGATTAAAATCAGAAGGCTCTCCATTAGCAACTAGACAAAGTAAAAATTTGAATACCTTAGGTCAGAGAGAGTACCTCTGCAGCAGAATCAAAATCAAACAGATCTAATTCTTTTCCAAGTTGGACATGGTCCTTAATAGGGAAGCTAAACTCATGGGGATCACCAACCTACAGAACACGCGTGTAAAGAAAAGGAAACCCATATATATATCTAATCAATCAGAGAGAGAGAAAGAGAGAGAGATGTCACTTAAAAAGGACAAGGAAACCAATACCACTTTTCTCAATGTTGACGAATCTTCCGCTCCTATTGGAACATCTGGATGAGTCATATTTGGAATAGACTGTGCTTCCAGCTGGAGCTCATCTGTAAGTTTGAGCAGGTCGTCTTCTAAAGTAATGAGTCTGTCCTTCAAATTCTTTCCTGAACAGAATGTATATCAGAGGACAAAAGATGACAAAGGAAACCAGATCGTTCAAAGCACAGCATGAAAACCTAACTATACCCTCTTCTATGAGTTTTTGGCGCTCGGAGGGTTCCAATTTTCCTTTCATCTTGTTCGCAACCACATTTCTCTCTGCACGAAGCCGTTCAACTTCCTGCTATCTGTGAGTAACAATTAGCTAAAATTGAGAAGATACAAGTATTTTTCAATATGGTTGAGCCCAAGGTACCATCATTCTAGACCAGATAATTTTTTTTTAAAATAGAAGTAATATCCTTTGAAAATGTAGAGGCCCGGGCTGAAACATACTCACTATTAATATGAGCTACAGCAATCCAGCAAGTTTATAATGACAATTACAAAAGAACAAATAGACCCTCTCAGAGATGGAATATTAGTTTTGCAGAAAACATACAATGAAATTTTGATGCTCAACCTAGACAAAGGTTGCTTCAAATGCATTCAATGAACAAAAGGTCTACATTAGGATTTCCTAACACAGTATCAGAAGCTGGGGAACTCCATAGTCCATATACCAGTTATTCACCATGCATAAAGTGATAAAACCCATATGTAGATGCAATGAAAATTTGCAGTTTATAGGAGCAGTTAAAAAGTGTCAGTCTATAGGTAATAGGAGCAATTGGTACAAACTTCATATGGTGAACTCTTACATATTCAATGAATAAGAAGAATCATCATAATCAGCACGCTAATGATGCTAAACCAATAGTGCCTCAAGTAAGCATGTCAATTTATTGCAAATTGTTTTTCATTTAATGTTTAATTATGTAACTTTGGAATCTCAGCGTCTTCCTTGCCCACTTGCCGTGCTTGTATATGATTGCGAACAACTTCCATGAAAAACAACTGTCAATTCCCAACAACATTTTACTAAGCAAAAATCTGAAACTGGTAGATGATCGAGTGAATAATGATTAAGCACCACATACCAAACAAGTAAGCATAACCTCGGCAAATTAAGAGAACATGTTATTCTAGGTAATAAAAAATGATAATAATATATTAAAAACCTAACCTTCTGAACGTTTAACAATCTCTCATAGAGTTCAAGAACAAGCCCCAAATTAGCATTAGAATTCCTGTTTTTTATATTGGCAGCGACATCTTCCTTGTTGTCTCTAATCCACTTAAAATCTATCGCCGCTTTCCATTGAGGCCTCAAAACTGCACCATTACAATCACAAAAAATGTCAAAGCCAAACAACAAGACATCCTCTGTACAAAACTCAAAAGGAACAGTAGATTTTCAGTTTTAAAATTCTTCATTGTTTGCAGAAACTAACAGAATACTACATATGTATTTACTTTTTAAGAGGAAAAGAGAGTCACCTTTATCGTCCGGAGAAGTGGTGGTTCGGCCGGTGGTTTGAATGGCTGGGGCTGAGAGAGCTCTTACGAGGAGTGGAAGAGAACGCCCATGGGGCCGGGAAAGGAAGTTAAAGGTTAGGGTTTTGGACACTGGTCTGAGAATGGAGGTCGATGATGAATATAGAGAAGGAATTGCTGCCATTTTTAGGGTTTGGAAGGTCGTCCCGCCGAAGCAGCACTGGAGTCCCATGGCTTCGAAGTATGTTTGGGACTTCGCAGTTCGCACAGATGCTGTGACTGTGACTGCGGCTCCAACGACAGTTTATCTTCTTTTTTGGAGGATAACGGGCCGGGCCGTCCAAAAAACTACTGTTTACTTCCTGCCCTGTATGTCACGGGCTAGCCCATCTACTCTAGAGGGACCATCATGGCCTTACGGGGCTGTCCATTGGATTGAACTGTCCGCGGGTCACTCTCATAACATGTTGGGCTAAAACATGGCCAGGTGGCCCAACGGGCAGTCCATGAACCAANGCCTGTATGTCACGGGCTAGCCCATCTACTCTAGTGGGACCATCTGGCCGTACGGGGCTGTCCATTGGATTGAACTGTCCACTGGTCACTCACATAACATGTTGGGCTAAAACATGGCCAGGTGGCCCAACGGGCAGTCCATGAACCAATGACCATTTGTTGAGTCTTCTAATATCCGTTTAGAAATAGACCTTAGGTCCAACCATTTGTTGAGATTGTCACGTGCATCTCACCCGATGTGTTTTTTNAATGACCATTTGTTGAGTCTTCTAATATCCGTTTAGAAATAGACCTTAGGTCCAACCATTTGTTGAGATTGTCACGTGCATCTCACCCGATGTGTTTTTTAGGATTTTAATCTCTTTTATAAAAAAATTCTTCTTCTTTAGCCTTTTGTCTTTCCGCTAAATTTACTCTTTTCTCGATTTGTTTTCTTTGCTTTCCTTGCAAAACAAAAGGAGGGTGCACACATACTTAATAGGGGGTAGTACCCTTCTCATTGACTATCGTTATAGTTTTTNTGTTTTCTTTGCTTTCCTTGCAAAACAAAAGGAGGGTGCACACATACTTAATAGGAGGTAGTACCCTTCTCATTGACTATCGTTATAGTTTTTTACTTTCTATTTTTTGTTTAGCATCATCAATCATTTGTATCATCATCACATTTAGCCTAATGTTTATCAAATTTTGACCGTATATTGATTAGGATCCATCAATTCAAACCTAACCCGAGACCCATGTTTCCCCACCTCCTACCTCAAGTGCTCCATTCCTAGTACCCAAACTTAAACCTAACTCTTCCCACTACCTCACATTTTCCAATCCCCTAATTTTAAATGTATCCATCTCCCAAAATTTTCACCAATAAAACCCCCACCTTGACTGCCTAATTCACACCATGAAACCAACCATATCTTTCGCACTTGCATCGTGTGTATCGGAATAGATGGAAGAAGATAGAGAATTAGTTGCAAGAGATTGTTCTAGTTAATGTCAATTGATTTGAATGATTTTTTTTTAACTGAATTAAATAAGGGATTAATTAAAATAAACATAAATTAATTCAGATATTCTTGACCATTAATCAAAAAAAAAAATTTACCTGAATGATCTCATTATGGTTTAGACCAGTATGAAAATACCATACGGTAATGAACTCAAAATTAAGACAAAAAAAGTGATAAACAATTATTAAAAATAATAATTAGATTTATTTTCTATTCTATTATACTTCAACGAAGATAACGAGTAAAGAAGCATGGACATTTTTTGACCAATGAAAAGCGAGTATTGGAGTTGGGGAGATCCGCCTTACCCCACTGACAACCGCATCTCAGCCGTTACTTTCGTGCCGGCAAAAACACAACCGAAGCAATTCTTAACCGTCCGATTACACGTACCCTATAAATTCAGAGTCTCGAGCACTCACTTTTCCAGGAATATTTGGGTTGGTTCTCTGTTTGTTTCGAGGGAAAGTGTTTCTGGCGCTTGGGTTGCTTATTCAAAACTACNAGGCCTCGAGCACTCACTTTTCCAGGAATATTTGGGTTGGTTCTCTGTTTGTTTCGAGGGAAAGTGTTTCTGGCGCTTGGGTTGCTTATTCAAAACTACTATAGGTATACATCTGTTTCGTTTCCATTTGGTTTCTTATTCCTTTTTTTTTGAATGCACATTATTTGTCGGTTGAATTTGTTTATTTTACCATTAGGGTTTTGAAGACATGGTATCGATTTTGTTGTAATCGACCGTGGTTGATGTTTTTTTTTGAGATAAACTAATTCGTTATGTTTATTGTGATTTGACCCATTGGGTTTCTAAGAAAATGGAGGGAAATAATAATTTTAGTGGTTTAGTTGCTGGGAACATGGATCAAAAATTTATTTTATTGTATGGTTTCGGTGTGTTTGAAAATAAAACCTTAGAAACATTTTGGAAACAAGATGAAATCAAAAAAAAAAAAATGTAAAAATTTATTTTTGAAGCACTGGTCAGTTGAATTATCTCCTAACCTACTCTAAATCTACTGAAACATCTAGAATCGTCTTGAAACATTAAAATTTAATTTAGTTCCTTGGCGGGCAGCACTGAGGAAAACGAAACCCTAATTTTTAAGGTTTCAATTTTAGTCGTCCAGATAATTGTTGTTGTTGTAATTATTGTTGTGGTATATCTTGTTGTATCTATGATAAAAACACCTTCTGGTTGTGGTGTTGATGCTGGTTTCATTTGATTTTATTGTTGGAAGTTATTGATGGCTCGTACAAAGCAAACTGCTCGCAAGTCAACAGGAGGCAAGGCTCCAAGGAAGCAGCTAGCTACCAAGGTTTTGCTGCCCCCCCCCCCCCCCCCCCCCCCCCCCCCCCCCCCCTTTTTTTTTGTTTTGTTTTTTTTCNGTTTGAGGACACTAATCTTTGTGCAATTCATGCCAAACGCGTTACCATCATGCCAAAGGACATCCAGCTTGCCAGGAGAATCAGAGGAGAGAGGGCTTAATTAGGTTGTGTGAATGGGAATGTCCCTTGTGAGGTCTAGATGTTTGTAAGGTTTTTCAAAGACATATTTGGTACTATATTTCTTTTGTTTCGATCTGTGTATGATGATTAATACACTCAAATAGGTATAGAGTAAGTGCAATTGGAATAATAGCAGTCTAGCAAGTTATTATGTTGGGTCTTGTCTATTTCATTATGTTCGATAGTTGTCTATGAAGTTCGTTTTTAGCACATAATGATCAAAATTCTTCTTCTTTCTGCCTCCATATTATTCTGTGTTCAAAATTGTATGTGCGTGATTAGATGAATAAGCTTGCCTTGATCCGAACCTTTGACTGGAATTTGATCTAAAATCTGATTAGTCAGACATGAATTAACTTTGAATATGTTATATCATGTTTCGTAGAATTACATTTGGATGTATCACTCTTTGGATTGAATTTTAATTTTTAACAGATTAGGATCTGTCCACAGTCGCCCTGCCTTGTTATGCAAGTGGGTCATTTTGTAGCTTGCTCCTCTCCTTATTTACACGATATAAAAACCAACATATTTATTCACATCATGTAGTACAAGTTGTATTCATCTCTAGGTTTGCACATTTGGAGGGTGGATTGGCAAAGACAAATAAAGGTAGCATAAATCAACATAGCTGTAAATGGAACATCCAACGCCAAAGTGAGACCTTTTTCACACCACGGGGAATTTTCCAGACAAGTACTCGCAAATGGGTAGTTTGGGACTCAAATACTTGTCCTCGCACGTTTTTTTAATGGCATTCATGCAATCAATTACTGGAGTTCTCAAGACAAATTTAACCAGAGACAGTGATCACTAAGAAGCGATGATCCTTATTATGTGATGTATAGAAAATTGAGGTCCCTGTGTAATTGTCTTGCAGGGTTCCACCCGATGACTCATTACTGTTACAAAAGAGTCAAAGCATAGAAAATGGTGGAAAGAAAGTTCCGTCAAGAATATGATTAAATGACAACTTCGTTGTAGGANGGTGATCACTAAGAAGCGATGATCCTTATTATGTGATGTATAGAAAATTGAGGTCCCTGGGTAATTGTCTTGCAGGGTTCCACCCGATGACTCATTACTGTTACAAAAGAGTTAAGCATAGAAAATGGTGGAAAGAAAGTTCCGTCAAGAATATGATTAAATGACAACTTCGTTGTAGGAGAGGCAATATGGGTTTGGACTTGAACTAGTTTCAACCGACTAGTCAACATTTTTATTAATCAGCAGTTTAAAATACTTTCTCTATTCATCCGTGTATTCCGAAGCAGTTTGCACTCAAGGGATGATCCTATGCCAGCAGGCACCATCTACAAGGGACCAGGAAATGAGCCATTTTCCCTTTGCTCATTCCATCTATCTATCTGTATCAATAACAAAATCCGACATGCCAAATTTTAGTTTCATCAAACATAACAAGTGTCTAGTATAATTTGAATGCATAGAAATCATATAAGTACATACCCATTCCCCAGGGCAGAGAGAACGATAATATTTTGCAAATTTGTCACACTCAGGAGCACCTTCACCCTTAGCAGCTACACACCTGAAAATGCCTAACCAATCAGGAAAACTCCAAAAGTACAGGTGCTAAAATGGTTCCTGAGTAATCAAAGTATAAGAAACAAATCAGGAGGTAGAAATAAAATTATATTGACTAACCGATGATACTCAACGTATCGGGTAAAACAATGCCTGGTCTGATTTGTAGTTGGGAAACGAAAGTCTGCTGGTGCTGTTTCGAGCTGGTACCCAACCATCATACAGCAGCAAAAAACATAGAATAAGAAGATGGAAGTAGCACCCACATTGTGCAGGAAAGGTGACGAATATAAAAGGCCAAAGATAAACTGCCCAGTCAAGCTAACCTTGATCTCTGTTGATAGTTCAGACTCTTCTTGATCAACCGGAGTTTCCTGGTCAGTACTTCCCCCGCTTTCTTCTGCAGCTGGGTTGGCTCCACTAACACTTTCACCAGCATTTTCAGTGCTCTTTCCAGTAGCAACATCAGAGGCTTCACTGCCTCCCTCAGCAGCACCAGCCTGGGAAACTTCACTACTTTCAACAGAAACAGGGATTTCCTCAGTTTTCTGAGCGACAACTTCGTCAGAGGCAGCACTTACAGGGTTCTTAACCTCTTCTTCCGCAGGTTTTGGACCCAGAACTAGCTTCTCTTCGTTTTCTTTCCCTTTCAGTAGATATTGCTGCATGTCAAGGTGTCAAGAAGGTTTTACCATATCTAATATCAGGTAAGTGAAGATAACAACAGATATACGGCAATGTACAGGGTACAATGCCCATCAGCACATAGAAATTTACATTTGATAGAAAATCCATATTGGTTATTCATTGCAGATTTGCAGCGTATTTTAGTTGGATGAATTTTCAGATAGAGCAAATTTAAGTAGAGGTTGTTAGAACCCATATGGTTCAGGCACATGTCCCAAAATAAGTTACATGTATTTTGTCAAGGTCGCTTGCCACAATATGTTAACTTCTGATGTCATAAGTAAGCTTTTCAAATATTGTCAAAGGCAATCAATAAGGAAGTTTTGACCTGCAAAGAACAATTAAACAAAAGCACTGCCCTGAAACTTTCATATATAAAAGCCAACTCCAAGGAGTTGAGATTAGGCTTCTTTGAGAAGGATTTGTGATCTATTACATAATAATAACAAACACACGTAGAGGAAGAATGGAGATCTGAATTTCTACAACTTTTACTGTTAGTAGGCACAAAAACAACAAAAGAGATATTAAAGGCTGAACGTTGGTAAACACACTATATTCACATAAAAGATACAACATACACTTAAAGATGTGCCCAAAGTTGCATGCCATTTTTGTTAGATCATATCAATTGCTAACTTAAACAAGGGCAAACTTCTTTAACCTTCTTGTGGTTACTCCACATCACCGCCGTATCGTTTGAAAATATGCACATAACCCCAACTTGCTTTTGGATTAAATTACAACCATTACAAATTCCATCAATTTAGATAGATTTTGAGATACACGCGCCTAACGCGAAAGTGGGTGTAAAAAGAATTTAGATCAAAGTCAATTTTAATTGTAAAACGATAAAGATGCCGTTGAATTTTAAAATAAAAAAATAACTCACCACCTATGAAGCACGGATACTTCGATCAAGGTGAAATATCCATATTCAATATTCATCGAATACTTGCGAATATGTATTGAATACTTTCCACACATATCAAATAATTAATAAAATATTTATCATTGTTGGATACTTGTCGGATTCACCTTGTACAAGCGTATCTCCATGGTGAATCCATTCACCTTATAATTAGTTAGGTGAATTGTTTAGAAACCGTGAATCATACAAATGGAATTTCTCATTCCAAGATGTTCATTTGGACATGCATTACATATACCAAAGATTTGTCCATTCTTTATAATGTAGTTGGCTTGAATAATGAGTTTTTATGACTTAAGTTAAAGTTAATGAAGTCTATTGCAATTAAATGTTAAGTAAAAGTTAAAAACTCTAGAAGGGTGGCATGTCTTTAGCTTAAGAATTACAAAAAATCCTGAATTTAAAACACTATTAAGCAGTCCTATGTTAGTAATTTAAATTATTCATGTTTAGATGTCAGCATCCGCATTCTATCCGTATCTGTGCTTCCTAGCTCACCGCTCTCATTTTCATACANGAAAATCCTGAATTTAAAACACTATTAAGCAGTCCTATGTTAGTAATTTAAATTATTCATGTTTAGATGTCGGCATCCGCATTCTATCCGTATCTGTGCTTCCTAGCTCACCGCTCTCATTTTCATACACCACCTACTAGCCCTCACCACCCAAACCCACTTCTCACATAAATCCATTGCACAACCACAAGTAACTCCACCACCTCCCCCCCCCCTCGTCTCACTACCTTCCACAGCGCCAGATCGNATTCCATCAATTTAGATAGATTTTGAGATACACGCGCCTAACGCGAAAGTGGGTGTAAAAAGAATTTAGATCAAAGTCAATTTTAATTGTAAAACGATAAAGATGCCGTTGAATTTTAAAATAAAAAAATAACTCACCACCTATGAAGCACGGATACTTCGATCAAGGTGAAATATCCATATTCAATATTCATCGAATACTTGCGAATATGTATTGAATACTTTCCACACATATCAAATAATTAATAAAATATTTATCATTGTTGGATACTTGTCGGATTCACCTTGTACAAGCGTATCTCCATGGTGAATCCATTCACCTTATAATTAGTTAGGTGAATTGTTTAGAAACCGTGAATCATACAAATGGAATTTCTCATTCCAAGATGTTCATTTGGACATGCATTACATATACCAAAGATTTGTCCATTCTTTATAATGTAGTTGGCTTGAATAATGAGTTTTTATGACTTAAGTTAAAGTTAATGAAGTCTATTGCAATTAAATGTTAAGTAAAAGTTAAAAACTCTAGAAGGGTGGCATGTCTTTAGCTTAAGAATTACAGAAAATCCTGAATTTAAAACACTATTAAGCAGTCCTATGTTAGTAATTTAAATTATTCATGTTTAGATGTCGGCATCCGCATTCTATCCGTATCTGTGCTTCCTAGCTCACCGCTCTCATTTTCATACACCACCTACTAGCCCTCACCACCCAAACCCACTTCTCACATAAATCCATTGCACAACCACAAGTAACTCCACCACCTCCCCCCCCCCTCGTCTCACTACCTTCCACAGCGCCATGACTCTTGCACCTTTTCCCTCTTTTTGAATCTGCCTGTCTCTCTCTCTCTCTCTCTCTCTCTCTCTCTATATATATATATATATATATATATATATATATATATTATATCTCAAAGTTCTTATGATGATTCTCCTATATATGAATGGAATATTGATGGAATGTCTTGAATATGTAATTCATTAAGTCTTACATAAAATATTAATGTATGCATCTATTTGTAAAGCAAATCGTAACACAAATAAAAAAATTGATGAATTTATAACAACAAGATTTACTGGTCAACTAAGAGGCCGGTGGAATAAAATTATAAAGATAAAAAACAATTACAAAGGTTTTTAGGAAGTCTTAATTACTTAATAGACATTTATAAAAACATGGCACAAGATACAACTATTTTGCAATCAAGGCTCCAGAAGAATCCCTCCTCATAAACAAATCTTCACCTAGAAGCAGTAAAAAGATTAAGCTTGAAGTTAAAAAATTACCATATTTATCTTTAATCAATCCAAATTGGTATAAAATACTGGAAACTGATGCCTCGGATAATAAATATGTAGGTATTCTTAAACAAAAAAATCACAACAATAATAAAGAAGCACTTATTAGATTCACTTCAAGAAAATGGAATCCAGCTCAATTAAATTATTCCACTATTAAAAAAAAATTGTCTACAGTAAAATGTATTACTAAATTTCAAGATGGTCTTTTAAATCAAGAGTTTCTATTAAGAATTGATTGTAATTCTACAAAAAATGTATTATAACAAGATGTAAAAAATATTGCTTTTAAACATATATTTTATCGATGACAAGTTATTTTATCAGTATTTGATTTTAAAATAGAATATGTAAAAGGAGAATTAAATTTTCTTTCAGACTTCTTAACAAGAGAGTTTTTGCAGGGATTATTATGATCAGAGGAAGAAGTAATTTTCGTGCCGGAGGTCGCAGAAGAGGAAGATCGGGCAAAAAACCCAGATCAATGCATATTACCCCCATTAACTAAATCAAAACAGATAAAATATGTTAATCAACAACTTCTTAAAGAAGGACAATCAAGTAAACAAGAAGAAGACGAATATACTGTCGTTAGAAGTAAAAAATTAATGAAGGAGGCTCTAATAGTCAAACCACAGTTAAATTACAACAAAGTTCAAACTTTACCGATATTTGACCCAATTATAATATTGAAAAATGAGTATATAAATTGGGTTAAAGACCTTTACTATAATGCTAAGCAATTTTTCGAATTGGATAATGCCATGTTAATCACCGATAATCGAGATAAAAGATATTACGAATTGATTCTTAAAGAAACTGACGCAGTAAAAATTGAACATTTTTACAAGAAAGATAATGATCCTCTAGAAAATATTGTTTATAGGAAAGATTATATCTAAAAGAGACTGAGACATAAGCTTGATTAAAACCAAAAAATTAACAAGGTATCCGTATCTATTCTATACCTACTTCGATTATATCAATGCTTGGCATAATGCCTTTTATTTTCAAAGCCCATCCTTAACACACACCTAATTTTTTATATTTACTAAACCTTTAAATAAGTTCCCTAACTGGTTTTACTCCTGGTGGGAAACCCATGGGGCAATTGAGGAGATATACTCTCCAGACATGCAACAATTATTAAATATTTATAAAGAAAAGAGACCAGCCTTAAAAGGCAATAAAATTGAGAATAAACCCATCTTAAATTTCTCAATTGAGTACTTTATACCATGGGTTTGGGTATGGAGTATTAGTTGTGATTTTGATTGTAATAGAAATCCCCGATTACTTAGGGAATTTTAGGTACGATTTTGGAATAATTATCATCTAAAAGAAAAAATTCCGATTATATTGGCATGCCTTAAAGACATGAACGAAGACTTCCCCTAAAGAAAAAGAAGTATCACCCAGGATTAAATCCAATAGAAATTCTTAAAGAAAAATCCCATTTGAAAGAAGAACAACTTAAAGTAGCAGTCATGGAACAAATAAGACTACAAATGATGGTCACATTTGACATAAGTAAAAATGTGGGGACTATAAATATATATAAAAAGGGTAAAGAAAAGGTTGAAGATAGACAACGACGTAATGATTCGTTCGATTCTGACTACTTCGACCTTTTCTTTACTCTTTTCATGTATATTTACAATAGGGTGTTTACAAGATCCATCCCCTCATTTTTACTCATATCAAATGTGGCCATCATCTNTGGTGGAATAAAATTATAAAGATAAAAAACAATTACAAAGTTTTTTAGGAAGTCTTAATTACTTAATAGACATTTATAAAAACATGGCACAAGATACAACTATTTTGCAATCAAGGTTCCAGAAGAATCCCTCCTCATAAACAAATCTTCACCTAGAAGCAGTAAAAAAGATTAAGCTTGAAGTTAAAAAATTACCATATTTATCTTTAATCAATCCAAATTGATATAAAATACTGGAAACTGATGCCTCGGATAATAAATATGTAGGTATTCTTAAACAAAAAAATCACAACANCTGCAATCTTATTTCTTCCATGACTGCTACTTTAAGTTGTTCTTTTTTCAAATGGAATTTTTCTTTAAGAATTTCTATTGGATTTAATCCATTACTGGGTGATACTTCTTTTTCTTTAGGGGAAGTCTTTCTCATGCCTTTAAGGCATGTCGATATAATCGGAATTTTTTCTTTTAGAGGATAATTATTCCAAAATCGTACCTAAAATTCCCTAAGTAATCAAGGATCGAAATCACAATTAAGACTCCATACCCAAACCAATGGTATAAAGTACTCAATTGAGAAATTTAAGATGGGTTTATCTTCAATTTTATTGCCCTTTAAGGTTGGACTTTGTTCTTTATAAATATTTAATAATAGTTACATGTCTGGAGGGTATATCTTCTCAATTTCCCCATGGGTTTACCACTAAGAGAAACTAATTGGAGAACTCATTAAAAGTTTCAGTAAATATAAAAAATTAGGTGTGTTATGAACGGGTTTTAAAAATAAAAGGCATTATGCCAAGCACTGATATAATCGAAGTAGGTATAAAATAGATACGGATACCTTGTTAATTTTTTGGGTTTAATCAAGCTTATACCCAGTCTCTTTCGGATATAATCACTTGTAAAAATGTTCAATTTTTACTGAGTCAGTTTCTTTAAAAATCAATTCATAATATTTTTCATCCCGATTATCAGCGATTAACATGGCATTATTCAATTCAAAAAATTGTTTAACAATATTGTANGAATCAATTCATAATATTTTTTATCCCAATTATCAGCGATTAACATGGCATTATTCAATTCAAAAAATTGTTTAACAATATTGTAAGGGACTTTAACCTAATTTATATGTTCATTTTTCAATATTATAATTGGATCAAATACCATTAGAGTTTTTAATTTGGTGTAATTTAACTATTAGAACCTCCTTCATTGATTTTTTACTTCTGACAACATTATATTCGTTTTCTTCCTGTTTACTTAATTGTTCTATTTTAAGAAGTTTTTGATTAACAGATTTAATCTGTTTTGATTTAGTTAATGAGGATAATAAGCATTAATCTGGGTTCTTTCCCCAGATCTTCCTCTTTTGCAACCTTCGATCATAATGATCCTGCAAAAACTCTCTTGTTAAGAAGTCAGGAAGATAATTTAATTCTCCTTTGACATATTTTATTTTAAAATCAAATATTGATAAAATAACTTGTCATCGAGCAAATATCTATATAGAAATAATATTTTTTACATCTTGTTCTAATACATTTTTTTGTAGAACTATAATCAATTCTTAATAGAAACTCTTGATTTAGAAGATCATCTTGAAATTTATAATATATTTTACTATAGACAAAATTTCTTTTTTAACTGTGGAATCTAAAGTGAACCTAATAAGTGTTTCTTTATTATTGTTGTGATTTTTTTGTTTAAGAATACCTCCAGATCCTTTATCCGAGGCATCAGTTTCAACTATCTTATACCAATCTGAATTGGTTAAAGATAAACATGATAATTTTTTAGTTTTAAGCTTAATCGTTTTTACTACTTTTGTGTGAATATTTGGGACATATTCTTCTTAAGCCTTGAATACAAAATAGTTGTATCTTGTGCCAAGTTTTTATAAAAGTCTTTTAAGTAATTAAGACTTCTTAAAAACCTTTGTAATTGTTTTTTTGTCTGATCTCATCTGGAAATTTAGAAACAAATACTTCTTTCAATTAGAACAATATTTCTTTGTTCAATATAATGTCCTAAAAAACAAACTTTAAGTTTGAATAATTTCATTTTCACAGCCGAAAGGACTAAACCATTCATTTTGACAACTTCAATAAATATATTCAAATGTTTAAAATGTTGATCAATAGAATAAGACAAAATAAGTATATCATCGATATAAACTATAAAAAATCCAAAAAAAGGATAAAATATATTAATCATAATATTTTGAAATTCAGAAAGGGCATTTTTAAGCCCAAATGACATGACATTCCATTCATAATATCCAAAAGGAATTGTGAAAACAGTTTTGTACCAGTCTTCCTCAACTATTTGGATCTATCAATACCCTGACTTTAAATTAAATTTAGAAAAGATTTTAGCATTGTATAATCGAGATAGTAAATCTTTTTTTTGTTTGAAATTGGATATCTTATCCATTGTAAAAACTTGTTTAAAGGTTTATAATTGATTACCAATCTAGGAACTTCTCATTCTTTTTCAGCATTATTATTTATATAAAATGCAACACAATAGCGAAGAGCTAGTGAGTGTGTAAGCCAATGAGTAGCACAGTTTGGTTAGCGCATCTGTTTAGGTTCAGATCAAAAAGACCAATTCTCAAAGTTTCATAAATATGGTCTGATGTTTCGGTGCTATGACCTCGTCCGCTAGAAAGTCTCTCCAATTCCATTCGGAGAGAAAACGATCTGATCTTTTTTTTGTTTGGAATTGGATATTTTCTCCATTGTAAAACCTTGTTTAAAGGTTTATAATTGATTAC